ACAAAGCCTTTGCAATGTATCTCCCCAATGCAACTCTTCCTGAAAAATAGAGGAATGATTTCCAGGTGCAAATCCAGCTGGATTTTCTGCACAAGCTCTCAACCATCTCTCCAAATATCCCACTCTGAGAAACAATTCCAGCAACCCACAGGTGCACTGAGTACAGATCCACAAAAACCTTTGAGCTCCTGCAAATGATGCTCCAGACGACCTTGTAATAAATCAAAAAACTTTATTTGTAAGATATATTATAAATGTACAGCACACATAACATCAGTGTCCCTGTGTGTATGTGTGGGCAGGGCTAAAGCCTCAGCATTCATTCTGGTCTCGGTTGTGGGAGCGAGGTCTCCACACGCAACAGTTTCAGCCTGAACAGGTTTGGCTCTGCCAACACCTCACAAACTTCCAGGAACCTATTTCAGCAGACAACAGCAACTGCTTCAAATGATAACCAATTAGCAGCATTCCTTGCTTTTTTGCCTGGAGAGTTTTCCGTAGGGAGTGAATCCTGCTGGTTTCCCCACTCAGGGAGAGGTCAGTGACCCACGTAAGCGTGGCCAGAATGAATCCTGAATTCCACAGGCTCAGGGACATTCGCCCTGGTTAAGCTTCAGAAAAGTAATGTTACACCTTAGGAAGAGCTGTGCATGCCACACACCGTGTCAGTGCCAGACCCAAGTAATCCTATGGGGTACCTAATTATTGGATACACAGGTGAAATGACAAAAGTGAAGTCAGTACCTTGCAGAGAACTTCACTGGTGCTGCCTCGTGGGAGGTGCTGGGTAGCAAATCATATTCGTGTACAGTTCATTAAGCTATGATAAAAATATGCAAATTACAAATCTCTACAGGCCTCTGTTACTTGCTGCAACAAAGACACTTGGGTTTGTGGGGGCTTTGCTTAAAACATGATCCAATTTCCTCCCTCTCCCCAGAGCATGATATAAAACTATACCCAAATTCAGTAAGAATTTAATGCATTTACATTGATTAAAGTTCACATGCTGCAAACAGGATCTGCATTGAAGATCTTCAAATCTAGGGCAAGAGGTCCTTAAAAAACCCCTTGGGTTACACCTAGATGTGGGGATGCAGGTAAGAACAACCACCATGAGAGCACATTCACGTGGACGTAATATACACTGTGTGGTTTCCTCTGCAGGGAGGGGAGGGATTGCCACCCTGGCTGAGCTCACCCACTGCCCTGCAGCAGCCAGCACAAACCCTTCCAACAGGGCCCTGTCCCAGAGAGGAGGAGACACTCAGCATCTCAAGCCTCAAAGCTCAAGGACTTACAACCAGGTAGAAATGCCCAGCTGGAAGCATCACTAATCTGTTAGTTAATAAAAATGTTACTGATTACTAAAAGTAGAAAACCAGAGCAGTTACTTTGGATGAAACACTCACTATCCCGTGCACAAGACTTTGGGAAAATTGCTCCTGGAGCAGAGATCACAGGGAACATCTGTGTCTCCTCCCCAGGCAATGTTTGTCACTATACATTCGTTTGGTGCAATGCTCATTTCAACAACTCCCCAAGTACATCAAAAGATCCTCAGCCCAGGAATCACAATGCCTAAAAAAATAATAACAGTCCTAACTAAAAAGGATTTCAGTAACCACTACAGAGTTGCTTGGATATGAAGATTAATCTCTGAAAGACAAGTTTGGTTCCAGCAGAGTGAGGGAAGAAATGAGGGTCAAGGTTTGGGACACCGACAGAGGCTGTGTGCAGCCAAGAAATCACGAGCTAGAGGTCTCAGAGCTCGAGCAGGAGTGAACCTCACACCTTCCCACCAGAGGAGTGCCCTGGTGGCTGCGTTAGGAACCAGGCAAGTCAATTTTCCAGCTGCATGGAGAACAGAAACGACCTTGAAATGGTGTACGGCCCAGCGAAGCGTGAAGCAGAGCTGGGAAATGCTGTGTGACCTCTTCCATGGAGGCAGCAATCCTAAAGGAAGACTCATGTCACTGCTCACAAGGAGAGGAGCAATGGCAGATTCTTTGGACTGGACCAGACACTGCAGGTTTAGCAGGAGAGTTACACCAGTTCAGGCTCACAGGTCATGACAAGGTCAAGCTGTAAAACAGCCATTGGCCTTTTGTCCAAACACATCCCTTTAAAAGCAGCTCCCTAAAAAAGGAGTATCAATATGAGGCCCTGAGAACACACTTCCCTATAGTACATTTCCATTTCAAATATCAGTGTTTTGATGACAAAATGATAAGTTAGATATTTAAATAAACAGCTGGTTAGGAATAGCTAAAGGGACAAGATTGTCATGGGGCAAAGAGCATCTCCCCTCTGCTCCATCTCACAGGCTTCCAAGTATTCCCCTGAATATGTGATGAGAAACTTAACCATGACATGTCTCTGCTGGTTGGAACTTGAACCCCAGAGATGCCAACTCAAGGCCTGAGCCTGTAAACCCTCACTGCTGTGACTAGCTCTTCCTCACAAACCCTTCTGGTTTGATTCAACCAAAATCCAGCCCCTGTGTTCAGGGACCTCTCACTGGCCCACAGAGCTGATCCACCAGTGGATCCTCCACCCTTCAGCCAGGGAACAGGACAGATGATCACCAGGCAAAGCTCTTGCCACACACACACTCCTTGTGCCTGGTGACCCTTCTCAGCATTCCCACCCAAGAGCTCTGATATTCCAGTTTCCTGCAGGTCTTGTAAAAACTGGGCTAGTCACTGCCATTACCAGTCCCAGGGACTCCTCCACTTTCCCATGCATCTCCTGTGCTGGAACAGCAATCCCACACCCCAGTGTGATGGGGACACACAGCTCCCTGCTCCAACTCACACCCAAACACCAGAGGTGCCTTGATCAGTTCCTCAAAGTGTTCTTCAACCTCAGGAGTTGGTTTTGGTTGGTTTAAATCACCTCCTGTGCCTTGCTACAAACATCACACCTCCTAAATTCTGGTCTCTTTTGGCTGCTGAAACTTAAGTTCTCATAAGCCAAGCTCTGTTAAAGCCATCCCAAACAAGAACACACTCTCCAACACCTCAGCTGGGGAAGAGTTGAGCTCTGGAACAAGGAAATCCAGGAATAACCACATATTCTTCAAGCATTCTAAAGGTGCAGCATTCCTTTATCCCTACTGCCTAACTGCTGCCGCAACCTCAGGCTATGCTGCTGCATCATCACCTTCCATTACATAAGAGTAATTAGTTTTACTGATGCTTTTCCCCACACTTTATAAGCAGTTCAGTGGCACTGAGGGGTCCTGACACACCAAGGGAGGCAGCTCTGATCCCTTTTATCCCTCTGATCTGCCTGGAAGCTCCACAGTCTAATCATGTGCTACTGAAATCAAACCCAGCATTTCCCAAGCCTCTACATTCTCCAAGTGCACCAAGGGATCATTAAGCCTGAACCTCTCCTCATCCATTCAGAAGCCAACCCCCCCAAAAAAAACTACAGGGGAGTTTTTCCCAGCTTTCCCTTCTAAAAACACTCATTGAAAGGAATATTAACCAGAATCCTGATTGGCAGAGAAAGCTATTTGCCTCTAATGTTAAAAGCTTCAAGTAAAAGAATCTTCTGGCAGTATTACAGGCAAAAAGCTTGAGGAGTAAGCAAAAAGCCTGGACAATATAATCCAAACACCACAACAGTCAGTCACAACTACTCATGAGTGGTTGTGCTGAGCTCCCTGGGGTGCAGGATCAGGTTCCTGGCTTGAGTTACACGACAAGGTTATAATTTAATGTCATGTTGTCAGTCTATTCTTAGCAAGAGCCCACAAAAAAAAAATAAAAATGGGTTTACTGTCCAATTTGAACAGAAGAAGCATCTCTATAAAGCTTGGAATTTCTACATGGAGAAGTCACTATTTCAGCAGTCATCAAGTGTAAAGCTTAGTATGAAATCACAAAGAACAAGAACTCCTGGGATAGTAAATCCAGATACAATCTCAGGCTGTTTGGATTTCCCCACCCTTCATCTTAATGATGAGAAATTGGCAACTTCAGTGCTTTGACTGCAGAACAGCACAGAGCAGCTGCCAAGCTCAGGCCAAAACTTGTCGCAGGGTTTCGGGTTGCATCTTGTTGCATTTTTGTTTAAAAACCCCAAGTGCACCCAAACCTCTCCCACACCTGAGCAGTGACTGCAGAGCTGCTCAGGATCTGTTTGACAGGACACTCTGTGCTGTTTAGAGACAGGATCATCTCCTGGTTCCTCTGCACTTTGGCGAGGCAGAGCTTGCCCATTCTGCCTTTCCCAAAGGGCTGTGAAGCACAGGATGTGGCAGGGATGATGACAGATGCCAATCATTTGAAAACAAACCCCGTTTTTTAAGCAAACTGTTCAAAACTAACACGTGCAGAGCGCAGTCAGAAAGCCCAGCTGGGTATTCACAGTGAGCTCTGTCCTGAAAAGCTCAGAATTCCTGTCTGAAACCTCAAGTCAGAGCAGGAGAGACCCAGCCTGACATTCCTGGTATGTCCATGGCAAAAATAAACCTAAGGAAAAGCCACTTCTAACTCAAAGATTGCAAATTCAAGCGTGATTTAAATATGGTAAACAAGATAAAACCTACCTGGTTCTGCTGCTTCAGAGATCACCAACTCCCATGCTTGTTTGTAAACAGAATAAACCCCACAAGTCCCTTTGCAAACCTGTGCAGAGGAGCATGGGGAAAACACCACTGAGTGAGCACATCCTCCTTGCACTGGGATATGGCAGAGAACTGGGGAATTCAAGTCTTGGTGTGGTGAATCCTTTGTCAGGCATTTGAATTGCCTTTGTCAGGCACCTTTGTGGTACCTGACAGAGAAGCTCCTGCAAGCACAACCCCTGTGGGACTGCAGCAACACTACCAGAGGAAAATAAATAGGAAAAAGTAATGCTGTGAATCAGAACTGCATGTCTGAGTGATGCTGTTTCAGTCAGAATGCAGGACAGACAGGTTTGGATAGAAATGTGCTTGCTCTCCCCAAATTTGGGCTTTTAAAAAACATTTCCTAAGGATCAATCTTTAAAAAACAACACTTTTGTCATTTGATAGAGCCATAAATTAATACTGTATGGAGATGATTCATATCTTATGCTAGTGGTCAGTGACCTTTTGTAAACACCAGCCAGAGCCTAACAAAACTGGCTAGAAAACTACTGTCACAGGCCTTGGTAACAAGCATTTCTGTCCAACAATCACATCCTTAAGTGTTTTCACAAAACCTTTTCCTATTTTTTTTTTGTGTGTGTGTGATATACTTTATTTTAAACCTAATACCTGAAAACATAAACAAGTCTTCAAACCTCTTCCACTAACACTAAATCCACAAGGCAACTCACTTCATTGGCTGTAACTACAAAAGCTCTTGTGCGAGAGAGACCCACCCAGCCAGGATCTCCCTCCCTCCCCTCCTCCCCTTCCCGGACATCCCTGCAGCCTCCCGCGGAGGTGGAGGTGGAGGGAGGGACAGGAGGGAGTGGCACAGTGCACTGGCATCGCCCTCTACGTGCGGTTGAGCGTCTGGAAGATTCGGGAGATCTGGAGCATCACAGGGCCAGTCTCGGGGTCGTTCATCCACTGAGTGCTGTTCAAGGGGTTTTCAAGCATATCCTCAAAGGCTGCCAAGAGATGGGAATTACAACAGTTAGGCCTTCAGTCAGCAAAGCTTTGGGGTGTTATAACAACAGGACAGTTAGGTCAGGTACAACTCAAAGGTGAGCAAAAGGCTGTGCTCTGGAGCATCCACAGCCTTCAGGCTGTGCTGCTTTGCTCATTTCCCAGCATTAAACTCACTGCAGACAGCGATTAAATACTCAGCCTGGATTACAGTCCATCCCACAAAACCTCAAGGACATGGGGTTGAGGAGCTAAAGCCTTGGCAAATGTCTCCAGACCTTTGTCTGCAGGAACTGCCATGCAAGTCATCCGTTTGTGAGTGCCCATCTGCTGCCTACACTCCGACAGGAACACTCTCCTGCAGCTCCACTCCTCTCACCAAAGGCTTTGCCACATCCCAGCCTAGACTCCTTGCACCAGAATCCTTTTCCCTGGTACCTATCCAAGACAGTTCATGGAAAGCACAGTCACCCCCTTCCCTGTTCCCTTTGCTTCCCTTTGGCTCCTCTGGAGAGGAAACTAAGCCAGCAGGAGAAGCAGCAGCTATGCCAAAGGCTACACAGAGACAGCACAAGTGTAGCCCTTTAAGCCTCCAAATCTCAGAGCTCAAGCTTGTCACAGAGGCTCTGGAGCCAGAAGGGAATCAGCATCTTATTCCCCTGTCCTGGTGTGAGGATGTCAGGCAGTGCCACCTGGCAGGAGGAAAAACTCTGAGTGTGCATAAAAATTACCCCCATTTCTGAGCAGTGACAGCAATGCAAATATTTCAGGGCAATTTTTCTTTCTGTCTTTACAATAATCTTTGTTGTTTGCTTTTTTTTGTTGTTGTTGTGTTCTATTTTTCCTCATTTTCACTCTTCCACTCTTGCTGGAGGAAACAAATAGCTCCTGCAAGAGCCAAGCTGCAAATCTGGCAGAAGAATGGGCCAGGCACTGATTTATCAGCCTCCTGACAGACACTGAGCTGGACTCCTGGCCATGTGGAGCCACTCATTACAGAACAGGACAAAAAAAGCAGCTGCACAGTCACCAAAATGTCAGTGTTGTAAGAGTCTGGCACCAAGGTCAGTGCTCCTTTTCCCAGGGGTGTCAGTGTGCAAAGCTCCCAGCGCCATTAGTGGGAGTTGGAAGTGCCCAGCACCTCTGAGAGGCTCAGCATTAATACCTTGCTCAAGGTCAAGCCTCCAGTAGAGCCCAAAATAAAATCCCCATCTCACCTTTCACCACTTGAACTATATTCATTTACACAGACTCCAAAGCTTAAAACTAAGGATTGCTCAACATTCTGTAAGAAGCTCATGAAAGGCAAAAAACCTCATTATGAAAACCTGTGCCATAAGCAATTTGCAGATGTATCATTAGGAATCTTCTCTGATGTTCACCCAAGCTCCCAGAATGGCATTTCATCTGCTAGTTCTATTCTGAGCTGCAGTGTGGAATCCTTGTTGGGAATGAAGAAACCACTTGTTGAGAGCTCTGGAGTGGGAAGGCTCTGCTCCTGAATTATTTCAAGCCTTGCAAACTCTGCTAGTTACATTTAGAGTAGAATTTTTAAAGCTCTCTTGAATGAGCTGTGTGTTCAGCCTTGATTTTAAAGCATTGCTTCAAGTACAGTGTGAAGCCAAAGACTAAATGCAAAACTCTTCACATCCCTCACAGAGCCAATGTCATTTTTCTGTGGTATCAGAGAACAATTCCCCACAGATCTGAGGCTCTGTCAGGCTCCTCAGTGGGGTCTGTGCTCACAGCCCTTCTGAGCACAGCCCACAAAGCTGAAACCAAGCACAGGGAAGTGGATTTCACATGTTATCTCAACTTGGATAGCAAAGCCTTAATTCAGCCTTCTTGTTTGGATACTCTTCCACAAGTTATCTTCTGTGTCAGTGCCCAGGCCTCACCCCCAGGGAGCTGCACAGCAGGAGACAGCCTTGTTTTTTCTGTGAAATAATCAGAGTTCTAGACAGACATTCCTAATTTTTCCCCTCGTGGCCAAAGGGAGCACACAAAAGGTCTCCTAAATCCACAAAAGCATTGCAGCCAGCAAAGTTCTGAGTTCAGCAAGTGTAATCCTGGGGAATTAGAATGATTTCTGGGTCAGCCCCAAGGGCTGTGCTGGGGTTAGCTGAGCTGCAGGATGAAACAAACACACACCACAGCTGCTGGAAGTGAGGACAAGGGTCCAGAGCTGCATCTATCCCCCAAAATGGGCTGGCATCATCCAGTCCCTACTCCAGCAACCCCTTCCAGCAACGACAGAGACAGTGTATGTGCATCAGGAACCTGAGCAGGACTTACCTAGTAGAGTTTTAGGGTTGGTTAGCCCTAACTGTACCACTGGGTTTTCTAGGATGGCTTGGAAGAGAGGGCTGTTGGTGTCAATGCCCTTATCTAAGTCCTCTGGAGAAGGCTTCCTGTCTCCCAGCAGCCATTCACACTGAAACAAATCACCAGGCACAACAGATTTCATTAGAATCAAAGTGTCCTCACTCAAAACTTTTGCTATAACACCACTTTTATTCTCTCACAGTTAAGGACTGAGCTCCACATTTCTTTCCACACCAGATTACTACTCATTTGTGCACTATCTAGCCCCATTTCCTCTCTCCAACAGCAGCCAGCACTGGATATTTAGAGGGAGAAGATTCTTTGGCTGTCAGCTGTGTCCACATCATTTTCCTTAACACATCATCCACTAGCAGGGACTAACCAATCCCTGAAAACCTTCCTATTTTTGCATTCCAGACACTGTGGAAGCATTGCTGCCAACTGGGAACCTGCACACTCGAATCTCTGCTTGCTCCTTTATTCCTGTCCTTCAAGCAGTTATCAGTTACTGGGAATACCTTTTCCTTTCTCCTGACAGCACAATCACTGCAGGGAGGGACTTTCTCCAAAGCTTTTTGAAACTCCACATTATGCCAACCTGATCAGCCTCAACCTCACACACACTGAGCTCCTCTGAGAAGTCTAAACCCTTTGTATTCTAGTGGTGTAGCTCACTGAAAGAGGCACAGGATATATTGTGCTTGTTGAATCTCCCTAACAGTTGACTTCAGGATAGACCAAAACCTCATCAGAGCCACAGATGAGCAGAATCAGCTGCACAGCCCCTGAGAACAGCAAGGAGAGATGTCGTACTCACGGCTGCATTTTGCTGGTTGTTGTTTACTCTGAGTGCATCCACCACTTCCTTCTCATCAAATCCCATCTCCATCAGGGCAATGACAGCCTAGAGCACAAGGGCACAGCTTAATAAAGGTAATGCTTGAAAAAGAAACGAGAGCAATCACATCCCTTCACCTTCTGTGCAGGAGCTTCGTGGGGTAAAATTACCTCAGTGTTTCCCTTTGGAATCTTATCTACCAAGTAGGGTTGGACTTGATGATCTCAGAGGTCTTTTCCAACCCTGTTGATTCTAAGTTTTCAAATTCTCTCTATCAAAAATGTCTTTATTGTGGAAGCATTATGTCCTTTCCATAGTATTCCAGACAGGTCTGGGTTGGAAAGCACCTTAGAGATCACCTTGTTCCACCCTCTGCCATGGGCAGGGAACCTTCCACCAGCCCAGGTTGCTCCAAGCCCCATCCAGCCTGGACTTTTCTACAGCTAAAGGAGAACAGCCAGGAACAGCACTGCCAGGAGCCTGGCAGCTCACTTCAGTCCCCTCAGGTGCAGTGTCACTCACTCAGATCCTGCTATCCAGGAGACCAACACATTCCTGAGATAACATCCCTGAATTTAAACACACCACTAAAATACTTCCAAACCAGCACACCATCCATGTACCCAGATGTCCCAATCCATTTACTCACTGAGCATTTGGACCCCTTGGTGCCCACACAGTCCCTTCCAGCCCAGCAGTCCCCCAGGAGACAAGCAGCACCCACCCGTGGGTCAGGGCGAAACTCTCTTTTCCTCCGGATCTTCTTGAAGATTTCCGTCAGCTCATCCTTGGCCTCTTCCCCACCTTCCTCTGAGCTTGGACCTGCAGCAGCCTCAGCAGAGGAGGCACCAGCTTCAGCTGTGGCTTCTGCAGGAGTCTGACCTGGCAGAGGAGCATCCACTGAAGGGTCATCTGCGTGTTCTATCAACCACTCCATGGCCTGAGTCACCGACATGCTGGAAGTGAATGGGAACACAGGGATGAGACACACTCCACACATAGTGTCTCACATATATTTTCCTTAGCATTTATCCCTGTTGTATATTGACTTGCAGGTTAATTAGCAGCTGGAAAGTCATAAATACAGTTTTGGAGCATCTCAGAGCAGTTAACTCTCTGTGGGCACCATGATCTTTCCAAAGCCAAGAAGACAGAGAAGCCACATCCAACCTGGACAGCTGGAACCAAGATTTTAACAACCATTTCTGAGGGAGTCACTTTACTCTCTGCATCATCTACTTTGTTTCACAACTGACTGTTTGCAACTGTTAAAACTGCTAACAAAGCATGTTCCAAATTTGCACGGAAGCACAGCTCAGGTGCTGCTCTGTTGCTTAAGGAGATCTCTCAGACATCCATCCAGTGACCAAGGATTGTCATGAACACAAAAAGAGGGTGAAAAACATTAGATGTGCACAATATGCCTAACAAAGCCCTCTCAGGAGTGAGGCAGCACAGCTGATTATTCTTAGGGCATGAGAAGAACTGCATTACCTCCTATTTCTCTCTGGACTTCACAATATCCTTGAAATGTGTTTAAAGATCAGCACAAAGTATTTTCTACAGCAGAAAGACCAATGTGGATGGGCTAAGTTTGCTTTTTTTTCTGTAAAAGCTGAAGAAAATGTGAGTTTAATACCTGTTAACAGTGCCAGCCTGGCAGCCTTGTGCCCCACAGATCTACCAGAGCAAGTACAGCACTGATTCCACCTGCACCTGAGCAGTGCCTGAGGCAGCACTGTTCCTTGAGTTAATGCTTTTTCCAACCTAGATTTAGGTGACCCACATAAGGAAACTTCAGAAAAAATGCTAATTTGGGGTTTTTTTCAACCTCATGCATTGCTTTACAGGCATTGTGTGAGTAGAGAGTGCTGAGCAGACTTACTGGTTCAGTCGAAGGGCTTTGACAGCTCTGCTCTCTGGGAACCCCATCTCTGTGAGCTGCCTCAGGGCTATCTCGTCCACTCTGTCCTCCTCATCCTCATCCAGCATGGCTGCACACACACAAACACAACAGAGGTCAGACTGACTTCGAGCTAAAACAAAACCCTGTGTCAATGGAATGGCATGTGTGAAGTTCAAGCCCCATTCTCTCTGCCATCCCTCCTTTTGTTTCTGCCCCCAGTTTGCTATCTCATCGTTTAATGTGCTGCTCTCAGCTCAGTCTGGCTCAGAGAGATTCTTCCAGGACAAAGACTTTGTCCAGATGTGTTCAAGATCTCAAACAAAAGGCAGTTAACTCTCACATGACCATGGGATTTCCACATAATATACAGGAGATTCACTTTCATCACTGTTAGAAACTGCAGGGACAGGACAAGGAGTAATGGGGATGAACTGATAGAGGGAAATTTAGATGAGATCTCAGGCAGAAGTTTTCCCTGTGAAGGTGGTGAGACACTCAACTTGCTCTCATTTTTTCACTACTAATCATCTACAAATGGAATTCCTCATCCACCCCAAAGGGACCTTCTAAATTCACAGCTTTTATACAAGGAGAAATTTTTGCCACAGAGTTTGCAGTAGCTTTGCAGCCCCATCAGGGTCTGCACTGCACACTGTGACCTAACTCCTCTGCTCTGGAAGCAAACAAATCCCTAGGACTGATCTAGGAACTGTAAAATATTCATACCATTTGCCTTCTTAAACAGTTCAACTGCATCTGGGTTCAGTGCTAGCAGTTTCTGTGCCACTTCTATGAGAGACACTAAGATCTTCCGGAGCTCTGTCTGGAACTGCAAGAAAGGAAACTGTCAAAGCATTTAGACAGGAACTTACCCAACATCATTGAATCTTAATGCAGCTATTGTTAGTGGCACAGCAGCACTCTGGCCCTCTGGACACAGAGTTGCTTTGTTAGGGCTTTATTTTCATTGTTTAGTGTCTCAAGAAGTCTGGGCCTTTCCTGGGAAGTGCTACAAGGAAGCAGAAGCTCTTGGGTAGAAAGGTCCTTTTATTTCTAGCACAGCCCCTTGGGCAGTGTGAAAGGAAGAGGGGGAAAAAAAAATCACTGCAAACACCTGAACTATTGAAGACTGAAGAAATAAAACCCCTTAACTTCACATTGGCCACGGTGCTGGATATGTTCTGAGGTTTTTCCATGCACAGAAAAACATTCAAAAAGACAATTTAGAACAGTGTTTTGTTATCACTCATTAGCTGTGTCTAAGCCTGAAGCTATTTCTTTTAATGGACATTACACACATCTGAGTTTCTTTTCCAGAGAAAAGAGAACCACATTGATGTGTAAGAGAAGAAGTTAGCGAGGCTAAAGAAGCCAGTTTGGCTGTGAGTGAGGCAGAGTGAGCACAATACTTACATCCCTCATGTTGTGGTGTGCCACGGTGCGATCCACACTGCGGGTGGGCAGGTTGGCAGTGGCCTTGAGGATGGCATCTTTGTCAGGAGCCTTCTGCTCCTGCTTCCTCTGAGGGAAAGGAAACAGGACCAGTTTCATAACCCATTATTCACATAACACAGCAGAGAGCAGTCTGAGATTCCTCACCAAGGCTCTGTAACGTGCAGCTAAGAGAAACAGCAACTAGCCACACCATGGGTTATATCAGCACCAGTGTCATCCTATAGTTACAGAGCTGAACTGGGTCTGTTGGGTTGCCCCACTTTGAGTCCTTACACCTATTTCTGTTATCTAGGCACGCAGGGCAACTCCAGCATGAAGAGGGACAGTGATGTATCACATAGAACTCAGTGCCCAGGGCCTGCTCACAGCTCACTCTCTTCAAACCCACAGCTCACCACCAGTAACACTTCACTGCTGATCCCTGGGAGAGCTTCACTGCTTGCAAGGATCATGCAGAGATAAACAGTGCCTGGAGTTTGCAGTACCTGCTTCTAGACACCCAGGAAGTCACAATGTCAAGCACAAGCATCACTTGGAAGTGTTTATGTGATAACAGCAGCTGCAGTACCAGTGGTGCATAAACACCATCCTGGGCATCATCTTGACCCTCAGGAACAACTACATTGCAATAAAATGAAATCAAACAGTAAAAGGCAACACTTCAGCTCCAGAGAGCTGGTTAGAGGGTGACAAGTCACACACAGTCAAAGACAGCAAGGCAACATATTCCTTTGGGTTTTCCAACAGAGACAAAGCAAGGCACTTGCTGAGCTGTATTTACAGAGTTATGAGAGATTTGTTCAAATATCAAATCTATACCACTTCCACCGAGTATCTGCATGTATTATTTTAAGGCAAATGTTCTCAGAACAACAGTTAAAAAGATAAAATCAGCTTCCTCTAAGTTTGAAAGAAATAGGAAGCGATTTCCCTAGACCTTAATGACAGCATGTGCCTCTACAAGCAGAAAGAGGACATCAGTAACCCTTCCACATAGCACTGCTGAAGCAGTTAACCAAAAGTGCCAAGCTGAGAAGTTTTTCCAACTCACTTTCTCCTCTGCAGACACATCTGCCATTTTGGGGAGTGGAGGTGGAGCACGTTTCTTGATCAGCAGCAACACATCTGCAAAGAAAGGACATGGCAATAGGTTAGGGAGAATGTGAGAACAGTTCTTATAACATACTTCCTAAGTTCAGTTGTTCCTGGAGATGGATTTTGTATTAATTCCACCATGGCATCAGACCTGTTTCACACTTTCAAACCTGAATGGCTTCACACAACTCCTTGGTGCATAGTGAATTCAAAACATGGTCACAACTGTTACTGGTTTCTTCTCCTCACACAAAACCATTAAAGGAAGGGTAATACAGGCCCCAGATATCTCCCATGTTAATAGTACAGCAGTGAGGCATGATGATAAGGAAAAACCAACACTTTGAGTGCTTGCACTGAGAAGGAAGCAGCAAACAGGTCATGGATGGGTTTTGATCTAAGCTGGGGCCTTCCAACTGCAGCAAGGCAAGCACCAAGCTTGAAGGACCTGCAGCATCAGGCTGAAGCTCACCTTTGTGTGTGCATGGCAGGAGAGTGATTCACAGGCTGCAGCACAGGAGCATCCCAGGAGATCACCTGGGCCAGTCCTGAGGGCAAAGAAGCCTTCAAGTGTCAGATCACCTGGCACAGCTGGCTCGGGGCTTTTCAGACTCACACTTTGCCCTTAGAGACCTTTTTGTAGGGATGGTGAGCTGCTTTACAGGTTTCTAGCACCTCAGTTCCTACCATGCTCATTCCAAGAGAGGAAAGCTGCAGACACTGCTCGGAGCCCAACCAAAGCCGTGCAGCACCTGCAGCCCTTGGGCCAGGTCTGGCCTGACGAGCAGGTCTCAGTCCATAGCACCTAGAGGTACAAAGCAAACCAAACACACTTTGCACAAGTTCCCTGGTGTGGCTCAGCAAAGAACAGCCAAGAGCAACAGCTGGTGGAGGCTGTTAGCCCTCTTGGTCCAGCTGGCCCCACGTGCTGGCCCCTGGCCTCAGCTGTCAGCTGTGATCCTGTGTCCCTGCCAAGCAGGGGCCAGGGAAGGCAGAGCACTCTGCAGAGGGCGAGCAGCAGAGAGGCAGTGGCCTGACAGCTTGTTCTGACTGTACAGCTCATGCTGCTTAGCTGCTGCAATCCAAAACTCTGCAGGTGCCAGCACCTAGCCCAGAAATAACACACCCCCCGTCAGCAAAGTGCTGTCCCTTTGCCCAGGATGGCACTTCCCAGCTCCTGCCAGCTCCAAAGGTGACAGGTGACACTGTCTTGGAAGGGACACCACACTGCTTGTCTTCATGGCAGCAGTTCCCAGAAAAAAAAAAACCCGGAGCTGTACTCCTGCAGAGTTCCTGGCTCAGACAGTATTGCAGTCCTGCTCCTCTCACTCTCTGCACCACTGCCCTGAGCTCCAAAAGGAGCCATGAGCTTAATATCTCCAGTAAAATCTGACTCCAGCTCTCACCTTTAGATCTTTGGGTTCACATTCAAAGTTCAGGAGCACATACACACCCAGCAACTCTGCAGTGGTCAGGGATACCACAGTGCAGTGGATTTAGACCTGTGTTTGCAGAGGACAATGAGATCTAAACTGCAGACACTGACAGACCTTAGCAATCAGCCTTGTGCTTCATCTGGAGACCTCAGGAAACTCCCCCAAAGCACTGGATTGTCTCTCTTGGAATACTCAGGCATAGTAACTATCCTTGAATCATTCTGAAGGATAAATGCTGCCCTGGAGGTTTAAAAAATTATTTTAAAGGAGATAAAAATAATCTCTTTAACTTATTGACTTAATAAATGCTCCTAAATCCTTTTCAACTCTTAAAAGGAAGAGTGAAGAAAAGGAAACTGCTCAAGGTGTTTTCTCTGGGGGGAGAAAAAAAACAGTCTTTGTTTTCTGCCACCTTATTAGCTTCCTATGTCAAGGCAGAGAGTAGATATTAATGATGTTCCTGTTTGGAACTTGCCCAATTAAGCACAACCCCAAGCTTCCAGACTGAGAGGATTAAAACCCAGACAATCTTACCTCTATCTTGAATGTTTTCCTCCAACACTGTCTTGGTGTCTGTCAGCACCTTCTCAGAAGTAGCATGGATCAACTTATGATGTGTCACAGTTTTGGGATCCTCCAAGCTCCCAGGTACACACTGCAGGAGACAATAAATACTGCAGATCAGAAGGCAGAAATGAGGCTCCTGCACGAATCACTGCACTTTGGCACTCAGGATTCTCCACACACAAACTGTGCAGCATTTCTTGCCTCCTTAATAGCTTAAGCCAGAGGCCAATGCACTGAATGTGTTTTATTAAAGAAACTGAGGTTTGATTTGTGCCTGTGTGAGTGGATTTATAGTTTCTCAGCACAGAACATCTCGATCACACTTAATTCTGAGTGCTTAGTCCTATATTCAGGCCTTGGGGACTTGCAGCAAAGTAAGGATGCTCCCGGAGCCACAGCTATGTTAATTCTGCAACAGATCACTAAGGTCCTTCCCTCTTAGTGAGCAGCAATTAGTATCACAAACTAAGAATGCAAATCTACAAAGGGCAGGGACTGTTTTACAGAAGGGAAGGCTGTAATGGTGCACTGTGTTCTCACTTGTAGTGTGAAAACAGGAGAGACTCTGCTTTATCTACTAGTTGTGAGAGATGCAAGAACCTGACCTCAGTGCACCCAGAAGCTTCCAACTTGGTGGAGTGGAAAAAGAAAGCAAAGTGGGTGCAATTCCACAAAGACAAAATTAAAAATACCAACCTGCCAAATCCATGGAATTGTTGCTGCTGTTCTCACCACAGAATAGACAATACTGACCTCACCTGCTCTGCTCACCCAGAACAGCTTTAAATGACACTTCTGAATATTCCTACCAAGTCACTTTTACCATGTTTGCTGAAGAGCAGGTTCACCCCTCGTGTGACAGAGCCATTCCCAAAAATTCCACTGCAACCAGCCCTTATTTTGATGGGTTATTCAGTCCTGTTCATATGTATCCCCAGCCTCCTGCACAGGAACCTTTCAGTCCCCCATCACCTTTGCTGCTGAACTGCAACTGGTGGAAAACTCAGCTCCTGCTCTTGTTCCAAACAAAACACACTTGTTTTCAACTCAGATTCCAGTTCCTCACCTGAACTCCTGTCCAGTTTTGATGCCTCACTGAGATTGAGGCAAGAATGTCTGAGTCCTGCTTTGTCTAACAGGAGCTTCTCAG